ACAGGTGCGCCCAGGTGAGCTGCAAGAGATTGTATTATTATTACTTTGTTTCGTTGCGATTGTAATTGAAAGGGGAATGCACAAACAGATGACAAAAAGCGACGAAATAGCAAATGTGGCATGGAAAGAAAAAAGTTTGGGAAATTAGAAGAGCTCAAAGTTAGCGCAATTAAAAGAAAATTAAATAGAAAATGAAAATGAAAATTTGTACAACTTTCGCTGTGTCAGTTGATTGTTATATAAAGCCGATGATGGGTTATTAAGGCAAATGAATTGGAACGTTTTTATATAGAGGGAATTTTAAGGTTGGAGACGAATCTTTATATAAATCTTTTTCTTATAATATAAAACAAAACGATTGAAATTGCATTCAAATAGTATAAAATAATTTTGAGAATTTAAAAAAAGGAATAAATAATCGAAATCTGCTCAAGTCATGCCAATGCCAGGGGCTGTACAGTGAAACCTCGCTTTAGAGCACTTTTAGAGAGACAAAACACATTCAAATATTCTTTGAAAATGCTCACATATTCCTATATAAAATATGATATATAATGGGAAATTTTGGCAAATATTTTGCAAAATGTTCGCTTAAGCAAGCTGTCGTCCGTTAGTCAAGCTTTCACTGTACACACTCTTCGATTAGTGTTTGATTGATTTGTCGATCCAACAATTCTCTCACTCAGGTTTATGTGCATCTGTTAATAATCGCATCTGTTAAATTTTTAAGTTCTACGACTGCCAAAAATCCCACGCATCGCCACAATTTGAGTGCCAAATAAACAACTCACAAAAACTGACCGACCCTTCACAAACACACACACACACACACACACACATACATATGCACATGTATGCATAAGGCCAGCAAAAACAACAAAAACGCAAAAATATGCAACTGTAATTCCGCTGCAAATTGTTTATAAAGTCAATGTAACTGAAAGTGTGCGTGTGTGTGTGTGTGTGTGCGTGTGTGTATGCAGCTGCATATATGCGCATCTGTTAAGTGCATTTCCTGTGCTCTCTTCAATAAAAATGTTGCTGTCGCTGTTATTGCTGCTGTTATTGTTGTTGTTGCTGTCGCTGTTATTGCTGCTGTTATTGTTGTTGTTGCTGTTATTGTTGTTGTTGTTGCGATATGACTTTAGCATATTTTTTGGCTACGTGCAGTTAACAGCCGCAGCAAAAGAGAAAAAAAACAAAAAAAAAAAGAAAGCAAACCACAAGATTGGAAAAACCAGTTTGAGCAAAGCGAGTTGCTGTTGTTGTTGTTGCGATTGTTGCCGCTGCAGTTGCTGTTGCAGCCTTGAATGTGCATTTATTGTTGTTGCTCTTTGAGTGACTTGCTGTTTTTGGCGCGCGCGAGAAAACGCAAAATAAAAATACAAAAAAAAAAAAAAAAAAAAAACAAGCGAACAACAAGTAAGGAAGTTCAAGTAAAAACGGCAAGACTTGAAGTTATCCTCTAAGCGCAATCTTAATGACAATGTTATTAACATGCGCACACTGTTAAAGCAATTCGAAAGCTGCTGTTAACATTTTTGCGAGTGTGTGTTCTATAAGCAGTTCACATTTTAGCTTACTGTTAAAAGCCTAAAACTGTTTTCTGTTCACAAATGAAATGTTATATGTAAACTTAAGTGAAATGTTGTTAAACATTATGTTATTAAACATGTAAGCTTAAAACTCTTTCTATTTCAACTGTTAAATGGAAATCTTGTTGAAGAAATCTTGTTATTTATGGTACTGCTAAGCCAGTGAATTGGAATGTTAACTTTCCAGAGTTCATTCCAATTAGCAAAACATGTCCTAATCTCTGTAAGCAACATTTATTCGTATGAAAACATTTTGGAATATAAAATTCTGCTAATTTACATTATAGCTGAAATTTTGCGTACTTCTAAACTAGCTAGTTTTTGGTGGAAGTACTTTCTTTTCAAGCAGAGTTTTCCTAATCGCGCTTAGAAAATGAACTTTGGGCGTTCAAAAAAAACCGCTTGGCCGCCTTTTTGCCTCGCAGACAAGTGAAATTACGCACACTCTTCCTCTCTCTCTCTCTCCCTCTCTCTCTCTCTCGTTCGTCTCCTTCACGCTCTCTATCTGCGCTCTCTGTCACACACTGTTGCCGTTTTGCACTTTAACTTACGGTTGTTTCTAATTGCCTGACACACTTGGCAACCAGCTTCAGCCAATTGGAACTATCTGTGCATACACCTAGACACACTCATACATATGCAAATGTATACGTGTGTGTGTGTCTGTGTGTGTGTGTGTATGTATGTTAGTAGAACTCGAGAATGTAAATGCAAAATTGGCTTGTATCAAGCGCAACAATTGCAAAACAGTTAATTACAATTCTTGTTGGTTTAGAAGAGAGAAACCCCCTTCCCCCACCCACCCCCGCCCACCAAACACCTTGTACACTGCGACAAAAAGTCGACTCCACTTTTGAATATCAATCAAAAATAAAAACAACTTGAAAATGTCAGAAAGCAATCGCAAATGTGAAACGTTATCAATTTGCCAAACAAATTGTTTAGCCTTTCAATGTCGCCATATTAAATCAAAATCTATATATATATATATATATATATATATATATGTGTGTGTGTATTTATGTATATGTACTATATATTCGCTTTATTGATATTCATTTGCGAGTTTTTTGGACTTCGTTTTATATGAAACGCGGCTGATAACCGAAACTTGGGCATCGATAATCGACTTTTATTAAGTTGTTCCAATCATTCAACGGAATTTGTCATAGTGACCCATTAATTTACTTATATATATATATATATATATATATATATATATATATATATATATATATATATATATATATATATATATATATATATACATATATATTCTCAATGCCAGATAACGTAATTGTCGTGTAAGATGAGCTGATCGAATGAAAATCTTTACAAAAGCAGCTTGTCAACAGCTTTGCAGTTGAGCAAGTACAGTGAATGCTCGCTAGTTAGAATTTACAGTAATTAATAAAACATATTTTAGAGCTAACTTCAAGGTCATCTTGAGTTATTCCAAGTTTTTTTCCATTAATTTAATATTTTCATATATGTAAATCTGTTAGAGTTCGCTTTTGCGAGTCTCCACTGTGTTGCTTAACATTTGAAACCTAACATGCATCTAACATTTTTATGTTAGTAACATTTTTGCTTACATATTTTCAAAATGTAATTTCGCTAAATTCCAAATATTCTTTAACTAGAAAGTTTCCCTTAGCGAGCATTCACTGTACTTGAATATTGCATCAAATGAATCACTTTTCTAATTAGCTGTAGACAATATTCATGTGCTAAAGATTTCCAGCCCATTTTCCAGTCCAGTTCAGCAGTCAATTGGTCTAGTTGCAGGGGTCTTTCAATTAATTATGTGTATCCAATTGGAGCTGTACTCCACTTGAGCAATTATCAATTAAAAATTGTTATCACTTTTTCGAGCAGCCGCTTTATAGTCCAACTGGAATTTATTCAACACAACGAATTTGCAGTTTGATTGATTGGAAAGGCTAAGTAAATGAGGTTGTGATTGATTGAGTGGAACTGGAAGTCCAATTGGAAGTCGAATTGGAATTGAAATTCTGTGCGGGATTACGTGTGGCCAACTTTCAATTGTGAATGTAAAACTTGTGTATGGCAAATGAAAAAGAAGGGAGAAAAACAAAACAAAGTACAGCGCACAAATTGCGCAAAACGCTAAAGAATGCCACAACAACAACGACAACAACAACAACAGCAAAAGCAACTGCAGTGAGTGCAAGGAGTGCAGCAAGAACAAAGACAGCACGCGGCCAGCTGCAGCTGTAAAAAGAATGAAAACAAAAGCGCAGCAAAAGCATCAAATGGACCAACTTGGCTTTGCCAATTGGAATTTTAATGCATTTCATATGCAGTTTGACAGGCGCTGAATGAGTGCAACTGCAAACTTCAACTCGCCCGAGCGCCCGCTCTCGCTCTCACTCCTTTTGATTGGCTGTGCGCATGTGTGTGTGTGTCTGTGTGTGTGTCTGGCCTTTAGCTGCCCCTGTTAAGCGTAATTTAATTTAGCGCAATTGTCTAGCACTGTAATTGTCTATGTAATCGCAGCTAGCGGCGTCGCAGTGCTTTCCAAACTGCTGTTAATGTTAACGGTGCTGTATTAACATGTGTGTACATGCATATGTACATATATGCTAACATATAACAGTGACAGCTTTTTGAACAGCCAGAAAAAAAGCTAAATAATTATTAATCATATTCAAATTGAACTTTTCTTAATAAGAGAACAAGTTTATGGGATTTTGATATAATCACAAATTCAATTTTCGTATCTTGTTTCAAGCAAAAAACAAGGCTTATTATTATTGTTAAAGCCAGAGTGCCCGCTGTTGGCTATTTTTCAAAGCCAAAACCAGCTAGTTTTGTGTGCAAGCCAGCGAAATTGGCAGCACTGGTTTGCAAATGGCACGCGGAATGCGGTTTAAAAATAAACCAAGCCCCAAAGCCAGCCAGCCATAGACCAAAACGTGCTTTGGCCAGAGACCCTATTTAGCCTAGTTTACAGTTTACAGCTCGACGTCGAGCCCAGGCTAAATGACCAGCTCGCTAGCTGCTGCTGCGCACCTGTAAACGGGCTGCACGCGCGCGCGCGCTCTCCCTCTCTCTCTCTCTCGCTCGCTCCCTTAGCTTATGCTAATAAGAAAAGTGTGACAGCCGTTCGCCATTTGATGACTGCGTCGCACGCAATGTGCGCCCTTCCAATTAAAACTGTACAGTTTGACAGGCCCAACTGGATTCGAATTGGCGTGCGATTATGCAACAAGTTTTGTATGGTTTGTTGTAGTTTTTTTTTTTTGGTTTCTTATTTTTATTTGTGGCCATAAAGTGCGGCGCACAGGTGCGTTGACTGCATAAAAATGTTATTGGCGCTATTATTGTTGTTTGTGCTGCCTTAACAGTTACATAAAATCGATGTTAATGTTTATCATTTACCTTTAACAGCCTCGTAGTATCCTAAATCCAGCGTGAATGATTTATGTTAATATCCTGTATACAAAATATGTTGCTTTGCTTTTTGTTTTGTTTACGGCTTCCGCTCGCTCTCTTAAGCGTCCACTCTCTCTCTCTCTCTCTCTCTCTTTTGCTCTCGCACACACAAAAGACGGCGTGATCTTTCTCTCTCTCTCTCTCTCTTTGCGCTGCTTCCTTTCTTTCGCGTCCTGCAGCGTCGCAGCTTGTTGTTGACTTCTTCTTCTTCTACTTGTTGTTGTTGCTTTTTGTGTGGCGCTGCGTTTTGAATTAAAATTTGATTTATATCTATTTTAGTTTTCACTCCCAACTCTCTCACTCTCTCGCTCTCTCGCTCGCTCTCTCGCCTTTTTCTGCTCGCGTAAGCCACGAAGATCGATAAACACACGTAACAAAATAAGAAGCAGAACGAGACGCTGCGAGTTGAAGCTGAGAAAACCGGAAAGTTGTTGTTGTTGTTGTTGTTGCTTTGCTTTGCGCGGCGTTCTTTGGCTGCTGCGTTTTTTTTTTCGTTTTTGTTGTAAGCCCAAAAAAAAAAGAATCTCAGATTGAAGAGATTTATTTACGTGTAAGCAGTTTTTTTTTCTCCAACAACTTCTTCTATTTATTTGTGTTGTTTTTTTCTTTTGGCGTTAATTTATTAGAATTTAGAATTTCTGTGGCTTGTCACTTGTTGCTTTTGACCTTAATGCGCTCGTCTTTTAACAAATTCCAATGCACACACACACACAACACACGCACACTTACACTGATCACACAACACACACACACACAACGATGCGCAAAAAAACCAGCTTTGCCGCTTTTTTTTCGGTTTTTTTGTTTTTGGGCCAACAATTAGATTGCCGCGTTCTGAAACGCCGGCGCAGCAGTCGACGCCGCAGCTCTTTCTAATTAGCACAAAACAACAGCAACAAGAACAACGGGGTCTGCGGTCTTAACAGTTAGACGGCTTTCAACAATTGCTTTGCGTATTTTCAATGGCATTTTGCACAGGCTTTTTACGTTTTATTTCTTATTATTTTATGTACATTCTTGTTGTTGGCACTTTTGGTACGTTGCTTTTACGGTTAAATTTTTCGTTTTGCGTTCCGCGCTCGTTTCACGCACGTCTTGTCAACTCTCGATCTCGCATTACAATGTTGTGCTCGATGTTCAAACAAGGCATCGAAGCATCGAGGTATCGATTTGTTTTTCGTTGTATCGATTCTTGCCTAGCTCTACTCGATTAATTTGTGTCGTGCTTATCGATCTCCACTGGCGGGCAATTTGAGAACTACTCAAATTGTTATTACGCAGCAAGTTATTGACAAAAGTAAATATTTCCTAAAACGAAATTTAAGTAATGGGAAAATAACTACTGCACAGTTTCTACTTTTCAATGAAAGCAATAAATATTGTAATTGTTTAAAACCATACAATTTTTAAAACATGTAAATCTCTTGTGTCTGCTTCAAATGATAAATTAAAAAAATATATGCGGGCTATAAATTAGTTACATTTTGTAACGTAAACGCAAAATGAGAACTAGCACGGGATTGCGTGCAGCCAACTTCAAGCAACGCAAGCTGAGACACATAAAGTTGGCTGTAGCAGCTTATTGGTATTCTATTGTACTATTCAGTATTTTTCTGCTACTTCAGTATAACAGTGTGTTAGCATTATGGTAATTTTGCAGATATCTTACGCTTTCACACTTTAAAGGCCAACAGTTGCATTTAAGTATAACAGCCGTTTAAAATAGCCATTTTGAGTTTAACCGAGATATTTCATTAACATTTCTGATATCAGCATATTTATTTAAATATAAAAAAATTAATTAGCACTGTTAGCACTATTTAACACTACTAAGATCGATAGTGGCAGCTATGTTAATGGTTAATAGTATCGTCTAGAAAGTTAACAGTATCGGTATTCGCATATCGATATAAACGCACATCGTGATATCGAGCATAACAGACCCATAACAGCTGGGATCTTAACATTTCTGTTGTTGTTGCGTCGGAGTTCGGACGTGCCTGTCCGTGTCGCTCGCGAAAAGATTTATTTAATACTTTCCATGAACTTGCACAAACCGGAACTTGCTGAAAATTAGGCAAGTCAGTTGTTAATTGTGCTCGTTATGCAAAAACAATAAGCATTAACTGCTGTGCGCGTAAAGTATGTAAGAATATCGCAGTTTTGTGTCCAGCGTAGCCCAACGAAAAGCAAAGAGAAAAAGCGAGTGGCAGATTTTTTTTCTGTCTACCTACACAAACATACGTATACATATACTTCAGTATATGAATGCGTGTATGTGTATATCGAAGAGCGCAGTGCCTGTTTCTGTGTGTGTGTGTGTGCTCCGTGTGAATAATCGCTGAAGAATAAGAATATTAAATTTCTCGCTTCGTATAAACATTAATTTCACTAGTATTTGCATTCAATATAATAAATGAAATAACATAAAATCAGTGCAAGTGCGTGCCGCGCCCGTTTACCAAACGTTACACACATACGCCAACCGCTCACACACATACACATACATACGCGCTCACTCACAAAAGAGAAAAGTTGTGTGGCCAGCAACAAATACGATTTGTTAGCCAAATAGCTTTTTTTTCGTAATTGTAGAACTTAAACTCTGCTTCTTTTTGTCCATTAATTTTAGAACAACGCGCAAATAATTTAAATTCTATGCTTAGTCAACTTAATAAGAAAAATAAAAAAAACAAAACAACAATAAAAAAGCAGCATACAAATTATTGAAATAAAATAAAAAAACAACATAGAAGTGTCGGCTCAGTGTGCGTATATGTGTGCGTGCGTGTGTTGGTGTGCATAGCCTGCATAGCAGTGTGTGTGTGTGTTTGTGTCAAGTAGCATCAGCAGTCGCCAGCGCCGCCGCCGCAGCAGGCAGAATAACAAAAAATAGCAAATCAAAATGGCGCACCAGCAGCAACAGCAACAACAACTGGCACAATCGGTGAATTGTTCATTGGATGATATCGATTTGACGGCACTAAAGGTAAGTTGTTAGCCGCCGCCGCAGCAGCAGAGCTCCATGCACAACAATTGGAGTCTCGCATTTGCTGCAAGGTGTGGCCATGTGTGCATAACTTTGTTGTTGTTTTTTTTTTAAAGCAATTTCCGCATTGTTACTCTTCATCAACTCCCCCTCCCCCCTCTCCCACACTCGCTTCAAATTCACTTTCAATCAAGCGCAGCCTGTCAAATTATGCAGCAGACGTCGCTGCCGCTGCTGCTAACTGGAGTTGCCCATTTATCGATTGTGTAATCCAATAAGAATGTCGTGCTTGTTCACAATACCTGCACATATTTATTAATTGATAAATTCGAAATGCAAAACCTAACAGACTTATAAACATTGCGAAAAACAATGCCCAGCATGTTATTGCAATATCGTAGGCTATGGCAACGCCCACTCCACGCTGCATAATGCAAATCATAATAACGGCACATTGTCATTTGTTGTACTTGCTGTGGCCAATTGTGTGGAGTACTTGCTGTGCGCTCTCTTTGTGTTTGCCACCCACCCCAGGCCACCTCAGCATGGCCTCAACTCACCACCGGCAGCAGTGACCGGCCGGTGTCAGCGGCTTTGCCAAGTCTTGTCTTGTTTATTGCTGCTGTTGCTGCTTGTGTTTTATATTTTTCATTTCTCAATGAAAATGATGCCCCACACGCACAAACCGCACGCGTTGCTTATGCCATTTGCCTTTGCCTTTCTCTTTCAGCAAACATTCACCACAGCTTTTAAACTCACCACTGCCGCCTCACGTTGGGCGGCACACAGTGCGTCGACGTCGACGGCGACGGCGACGTCGCAGCAGGCAATGCGGCAAGCAAGCACCCACAGAAAGTAAAGTTTTGCCAGTGTTGAGGAGCAGCGCCGCCTGTCTCTTTGTGTCTGTATGGGTGTGCTTATGTGCTTGTGTGTGTGTGCGTGATTGTGTCTGTGAGTGTCCGTTTGTTGACTCTGACTTGCAGTTGCTTGGTGGGCGGTGCGGTGGGGTTGCATGTGGTATAAGGTGGATTGAGACGGCGGCTGTCTCTCTTGGCTGCATGTGTATGGGTATGTGTGCATGTGTGCATGTGTGCATGTGCTCTTCATAGTCGAAGAAGACGAGACAAAAACGAGACAAGAATGAAAATTGTTTAGTTTACTTTATTAAAAGAAGCAGCAGCAGCAGCAGCAGCAGCATGCTTATGCGTGTGTAAATACATGCATGCATTTGTGTTCGTGTGTGTGTGCAGACGACATCAAGTTGATGATGAAGCACTGAAGAGGCAAAAAAAAAAAAGAAAAAATGGCAGGCGTGTGATGGCCCCATGAGTTGTTGTTGTTGTTGTTGTTGCTGCTGCTGCTGCTGCTGTTGCTGTTGGCCTTCTCGCAGCAGGCGCGTGGGCGCCGCGTCTGCGTTGGCTTTTTAAAGGTCATTAAACAATGAAATACGTGCCCCGAAATAGTATACAGCTCGTTGTCTCTATTGTCGTTGTTGTTGTTGTTGTCGCAGCAGCCAGCCGTGCTCCTTGACAAAAGGTCACAGTCCTTAAAGCTGCCATCGCAACAGCGAGGCGAATGGCATTTGGCTGCTGCTCGTGCTGCTGCTGCTTCTTCTTCTAATGCCCTCATTCCCTGTGCAACTGTTAAACTGATAAGATACTTTTAACAACAACAATTTGGAGCACACAAAATGCATTCATTAGCGTCGATTCATTAATTATTTAATGATACCCAGCTGTGGATATAAGATTGTATGCCATGCACAGTGGTCACTCGATAATGAGAACTGCCCTGAAATTGTTTGAGTAAAATATTAAGTTCTCATGTTATTTTCACTGTATTTATTTGCTTTTGTTTTTAGGCTTGCAAGAACTTTGCATTTGTTGCAAACTAGAAAAGTTTTTAATTTGCGAGCGACCACTGTACATATACTCATGCATATTAGTGCCAGTGTACATATACACATGCATATGTATGCATGTATGCATGTGTGTTCTTTCCCTTTCTATCTCTCTCTCTCTCTCTCTCGGAGTTCTTTGCTTGCTGTTGTTTTATTTGTGCAGTTTGATAAGCGCTGCAGTCGCTGCCGCTGCCGCTGCTGACGTCACGCTCTTGCGCTGATTGCCTTCGTTTGTGCATGGCCATGTGTCGGCGCTTCTTGCACGCACGCACACAAACACACGCACGCACGCACACATACAAACGCACTGTCTTTGTCTTTGCTTTGTTTTTCTTTTGTGCGTAGCTGTGTGTGTGTGTGAGTGTGCTTGTGTATTTATTTTAATCAACGTTTATTGCATTTGGCTTTGTGCGATAAAAACGTGTTCGCCCACATTTGGTGTGTGTGTGTGTGTGTGTGTTTGTGTGTTGTTTTTGGAGTGCTGCAATTTGTGCAGTTGTTTTTGATTGTTGTTGTTGTTGTTGTAGCTCTCGTAAAGCAACAACAAATCACACATGTTTGGGTTTGGTCCGTTTGTGGGTTAAATCAACATCGGCTGGGTAAATACACTGAGCGAAAACGGAATTACCAAATATTTCGGCGCATATGTGTGCATAGTTAGAAATGTATGCGTGCATATGTCTGCATTTATACATATAAATACTGTTATGCAAATATTAAACAAAGTTTAAAGGTTGGCAAATGTGAAGTGTATAGAGAAGAGGAAACATACTGCTGGAGTTGAACCGGCGACCTCACATTTTGTTGTCTACATATTTACAAATCTTGTGTCTTTTATCTTAACGTGGCTCGATACCGAAATACCTAATAATTTACATTTTTTGCTGGAGTTGAACCGGCAACCACACGCTTTTAAAAGTGTTCAAAGTTAGACACATGTCTCTAGCTCTGTGGGAACGTTGGGTCTATAATCAACTCCTGTCTATTAATGTTAACTGGTTTTTTTCTTCTTTCTTTCCGTCAGCTGAAATCGCGCTGCTCTTAGACACATTTTTAGCTGCAAGCTCTTGCTAATATGTTTTGCATTCCAAGTCGAATTGGTCGCAGCCCACACACACACACACACACACACACACGCTCACACATACATAAATTGCCCATGCATGCCCATTTACATATGTAGTTTATCTTCTACAGCTGCCTTGCCCCCCCCCTCCCTCCCTCCCTCCCTCTACCCCTTATCTCATGCATATGCAAAAAGCTGCTTTTATTTATTTTTTAACATGGGCGTTCAATATGCAGCCCGTCCTGTTGGCGAGTCTCCTGATCGCACACACACACACACGTCTGTATATCATATCATTGCTAACTGGGCCAAGCCTCGCGTATACGGCCAAAAAGAAATCCAGTTTTGCCTGCCCAGCAAAAGCAGCCGCAGCAACAGCCTCGGCGAGTTTTAGACAAGTCGCCAGCAAGTTGTTTAGTTTTAGTTTCAGTTTTAGTTGCACTCGTGCCCGTTTTTAACAAATACAACGAACTGCTACAAAGACAAACAAGAAAGAACAGTTTATCTATGGAATGTCGAAGATTGAATACCCTTGCAGCTGTGCAGCATGCATACATACATATTTCCATAGTTGACAGTGCTCACAGATAACTGTATCTATGGTAGATATTTGATATATTGATCGCGAGGTGAATAAGTTTTTCAACATAGTTTTGGTGAAAATACCTAAAAAAAAGTTTTTGATTCGCAAAGCTCATATGCCCACCCTCTAGAATTGAATAGAGAGAGCGCAGCAGAGAGATCGCACTCGAGTGGTAGACGAGAGAGAGAGAGAGACCTGAAACGGACAGCAGGCAGCCGCAACTGATAACTGTAACTGCAGCGCGCTCTGTTGCCAGAACTATACACTAATGCTTCAACACTGCAAGCTTCCCCCCACACTTCCCCCTCGCCGCGCTGCATTTCGTTTGCGTTTTGCCTTAGCATGTCAACGCTAATGAGTCATGATGCTGCTTGCGGACGAAGGAGTGGGGTAGAGCAAGGAGGGAGAGGGCGCAACACTTGGCTCAGTTTTTCGTGCATTTTTAATTGATTTTACAACGTGAAGTAATCAGCCATAAATAGCAGTAATTGCCGACTGGCTTCCAGTCTGACGCCTGCACCGCTGTCCCCTCTCTGACCGAACGCTTCTCTCTTGTTTGACACACTTTGCACCAGCACCAAAAACCAACAACATGACGATGAAGAAGAAGAAGAAGGGGGGGGGGCAGCGCAGGAACAAGAACAATGATAGCTTTCGAGCGCTGCGAGGCGTTGACGTTTGCTCATTTGAAGGCAGCCATAAATCTACTTAAGGCATTGCCATAGTTCCTTCTCTCCCTCTCTCTCTCTCTTTCGTTTTTTCTCTTTAGGTTTTTTGCTTTTTATTTTGGCTTCGACTGACGCTTTGTCTTTTGCCTATTACAATTGCTGCATATCAGAATTTGCCGCTACCGTTAGGCCAAAGAGCAGCTCAGCTTAGCTTTTGGGCCAGAGGGAGGGGGGCGGGGTGATGTTAATTTGTAGGGTTATGTGTAAAATGCTTGTAAAGAGAGTCGCTAGTGCGAACGCATTCCGTTACAACGGGTATTCTAGCCATAAAAATGCTGGGCAATAATTTCTATGAAGTCCACCTACTAACAGAGGACCTCATATAATACTAAACGAATCAAATCCATAAGAAACTACAGTTTTTATCAGGTTTTTTTTAAGAGTTTTACAACAATTACTGATTATTACATGAGGATACTGAGGATCTGAGTTTCTCAGATTTATGAAATTCCATCCATAAGAGCGACATTTGGTTGAAAAAGTGTTGTAATAGGAAATGTTAAGAAAGTAAGTACAGTATTGAATTGTTGAATTCCACTTGAATTAGTGAAAGCTATGTGGAAAACTGTTCCACGGCCGGAAAATGAGTGAAACAGCAGCAAACTATATGAATGTAAATGTAAGATTAGCCTTTTCTTTAAATATATTCTATAAACCTATAACTCCTAAACAATGTATTTCACACAAGATTCACTTCCACTGTCGGAAAATGAGTGAAAAATCTAAATACTGTATAAATGTAAATGTCGCATTCCCTTTTTCTGTAAATATTTGCTATTTTTCCCCAAGTTAATAACTTCTAAGCAATGTATTCACGTAACTTATCTGCATTCTACACAAGATTCACTCCGACAGGCGGAAAATAAGTGGAATGTGAAAACGTATATTTGTTGCAAATGTAATGCTTGCTTTTTTCCTTTGGCCCTAATCCGAGTTATTGCATTTATTCACGAAACTTAGCTGCGTTTAGCTCAACTTGGATACAAATATGCTAAACTTGCATGTCTTCTCGATTAACTGATGTCTGCCCCCCTTTCCACTGCTTGCCCTTTGCCCCCCTCTTTCGACCTGCCATAAACTAAATTTAGAGCACTGACAAAAAAAAAGAGAGAAGAAACAAAAAGAAGTCTGTTACCTGTTGAAATTGTTGTTATTGCTGTTGTTCTTGTTGTTATTGCTTTAATTGGCGTTTACCTTAGCTGTCACTAGGCCCTCTGGGGGGGCCGCCAGGGCACGCCCCCCCTTTTGCTGTTGCCCTTCTTTTCAGGTCGTGACACGTTGTTTAGTCTCGAGTCTCGACTCTGGCGATGTCTCGTGCCTCGTGCCTGGCTCGTGAGTTGCGTGTCAATGAACTCGCATGCGATTTGTTGTTGTATGGCTTGACATGAGCATGCACAGGGGCGTAGTGTGTGGGAGGGTTGTGCAGAGGGGGGGGGGGGGGGGGGGGGGGGCATGTATTTGCTTTATTTTTAACGCTGCGCCGCATTCCTTATTTGTATTATGCCTTAATAATTTGTTTACAGAAACAAACAAAAACAAAGCCAAAATAAAAACTCGCTCTTCCTCTTGTTGTTGTTGTTGTTGTTTGTGGAGTGTCTCTGTGCCGTCGCGGCCACGCCCAGTTCTTAGCTCATCTCAACGCTTGGCTGGCAGCCTTATTTTTTGCCCGATTTGTTTTCTTTGTTTGTTTGTTTTTAGGTTTTGCCTTTTGCATCTGGCTAAGGATTTGGCTTTTTGGGGCGTTTCCCCTTGCGTTATTGTTTTAATTGTTGTTGCGCTGCGTTTTATTGCATTTCGTTCTTTGACATTTTCAGAGTTTTTCTACTAAAAAATAAAAAATAAAAATTAAAACCAATTTCTGACAACGCACGTTTGTCTTTTCCAGGATCCGGCTGGCATCTTTGAGCTCATCGAGGTCGTTGGCAATGGCACCTACGGCCAGGTCTATAAGGTAAGTTTCAATCAATATTCATTCATATGTGCGCCTTGAGGGTCAAAGGTCAAAGGCATTTGTATGCATTTCAAAGCGATTGTGACTTTAAATGTTATTTTGAACTTAGTTTTGATCGAGCTAACTTTAAATGCAGACAACTTTTAGATATTAAATCTGGCTTTTCGACAAATTTGACCAGTAGAGCTATATGATATAGTATTCCGATTTTGATCAGTTGTAAAGAGCCTAAAATATAGATATATATGTTTAATTTTGTTCAAGAACTAATTTGTATACCAATCGTAACTACAACAACTATATATACATTGACTATTCCGATAGAAACTATTTGTTTCCGATATTGTCATTGTTTTGCCTATATAATGGAAGTACAGTAAAGCTTGTAAATGGCAAACTTGTTCAAGATTTTATTACAAAACTAGAGCTCAGTTGTGCCTATGCGTGCTGTTTCTATCGTTCCGATCTATGAGAACTATATAGTATAGTGCTTGATTAGGCAGATTCTTACCAAAACTATTTATAAAATAGAAAGGTCGCCAAAACCAGTATCAATAATATATATATATATATCTTCCTTTTGGGCTGAATTGTATCTGCTTCTATGCATTACACAAGGAGTTAAATAAGAAATTCACTGTCTTTCGCGCATTTTCCACGCTTGCGCGTGGAATTCAAGCTACAAATCAATTAAAACAATTTACAAATAATATGTTGATGGGCGTGAAATAATGAACACAACACGATCAGGTTTTAGCACTTTGCCATACACTGTACAAACAAAAGGCAACAGATCTTATTTTTCATTACTTGCAGCATTTGCGAGCTATAAAAGATATTTGTTGCCTTTGTGGTTAGTTTTTTTTCGCCAGATCTGAGATATTGAAAACAATTTGTCTGGCCATTTGAATGTTGAGTTAACATTTTTTGTTTTGTGGTCAAAATGTTGCAGCTTTCTATTGAAGAGCAATTTGGTTACGGCGCAATGAGCTCACAATTTACAAATCGCGTTTAGTTTTGTTCAGTTTTTACATATATACATATATATATAGATGTATATATCTTTCAGTTGTGGCGACTGTTTCATGTTGTTGCCTTGTAATTAGCAATCATTAGACTTTATGCTTGAATGCGTCGCAGCTGCATGAGTTGCATATATACAGAGAGGAGGTGTATCTGTGTATCTGTATCTCTGCCTTTGTATCTGTATCTGCACCAAAACAAGCTGCGTCATTTGCGCTCTGCTGTGCCTTAATTAGTTGCGAACCGCTAGACGCTGGGCCAAAACCAAAACTTCAACTCTTCTCACACATTAACACATTTTCCTCTCGCCGCCTTCTCTTAGAATTTTTGCCGCAGGGCAAACAACAACAACAAGAAGAAGAACAAGAATAACAATCATCATCATAATAATAATCACATCAAAGATTTAAACCAAATGCTTGCCTTACAAACAACAAAAAAAAATTAGAAGAGATAAACAATGCCACGACTTTGTATTTAAATTACAAGTTTTCAAAATTGTATCTGCAAGATACAACACAATGCAGCGCGGCAGCTACAAAAATAGATACTCTGGGGATTACCGTTAGCATTTCTTGTGCTCCACTCTGTTGCTCTGTTCTATGCGGTTGCATGTGTGTGTGTGTGTGTGTGTGTGTGTGTGTGTGTGTGCGTGTTGTGGCATGCGCTGCGCTTGCGAGGCCAACGGCAAGTTCTTTCTCTGCGCCTCCTCTCCATTTCCTCAATGCACCTTGATGGGCTGAAAGGAGAGGGGTGGGGGAGGGGGGGGCTATGACAGCTTTAAAACTGAAACGATTTGATAGTTGCGATAACTTTATCGAAATTGTTTGCGTACAGTGTTGCAAAGCAACGAAAATAACAACTAGGATTATATAACAGCTAAATTGTAAGTCTGTAAGCCATATATGTATATGTATATGTATATGTACATGTGTATGTATATGTATGTGTATAAGCATATGTATATGTTTATGTATATGCATATGTATATGTTGATGTATATGTATATGTATATGTATATGTATATGCATATGTACATGTGTATGTATATGTATGTGCATATGTATGTGTATATGCATATGTATATGTTTATGTATGTGTATATGCATATGTATATGTTTATGTATATGTATATGTATATGTATATGCAATTGTATATGTATATGTAGATGTTTATGTATACGCATATGCATATGTATATGTATATTTGTATGTATATGTGTATATATATATATATGTTTATGTATATATACATCTATATGTATATGTGTATGTGTATTTATATGTGTGTGTATATGTACATATATGCATATTTTTATCTATATGCATATCTATATCTATATGTATTTGTATATGCCCAAGTTCGCTGACCCGCTACCTTAATCTTAAAGCTTCTGATGCTGATTCACTCTAGCACATACATATGTATATATTGCTATCTCTGTCAATTGCCTGCTTCGTGGACTCACATATTTCACTTACGAATTAATGTACTCGCAGCTAATCTTTGCGATTGCTTATTTCACAATCTACAATAAAGTGTCAATAAAATGTCTAAATTTACATGCGTCATTCTCTGCTCACTTCGAAGCTTTTGAACGGCTTAGAAATGCGGCCAATTCGCAAAAAAAAAAAATATGAAACAAAAAATTGTCGGCCCACGCCTACACGCCGCCTGCTTCATAACGCCGACGACCTCATTTGTGGTGTTACCACGCGAAGCTGCAAGTGGCACGTGGTAACAATGCGATTACAATATAAGTGCACAGTATAAGTCACACGTTGCCCACTGTGCGACAACTTGTTTCCGTGCTTCCACTACTGCGCTGCGCGGCATTAAGTAGTTCATTATACTGTCCAACACTGACTCCAGTCGAGTATGTGTGCGTGTGTGTGTGTGTGTGTGTGCTTGTGTAAAATTAGCATGAGTAATACGCGTAGATGCTTTTTTCCCATTCCCTCCTTTCGTGCATGTCGCCAGCGGTAGAACGCACTATGAGATTAACGGGCAAAGTGTTTCTGTCTCTTTCTCGCTTGTCCACTTGTTGGTTACGGTTCGTTCATTTTGCGCTGCGTGTATGTGTGTGTGCGTGTGTGTCATTTCTTAGGCATTTACTGGATTTTTGGTTTTATTGACAGACAGTTAACCGGTTTTCAATGTTCTCTCGCTCTCTCTCCCTGTCTCTCTCCCTCTCTCTGCCTCGCGCTGCTGCAAACGCATTCGCATTTTAGTCGTAGCTTATCAGAAATTAGTCGCGTCATTTTGACGCTTATTCATAACTTGCTTAAACGCTGGCGGAGCGTGGGGAATTTCGGTCTTAAAACAGCTTTTAATTGAATTCATTTTGGTGTGTGTTTCTTCTGAAATTGTGACGTCACTGTTGACATTTCTACGAATTCATTCGTTTCGCTTCGCTTAATGCGACTTTGATTTATGCAGCCGGCCAGTTGTACTCCCCCCCCCCCCCCCCCCCCCCCCCTCACACCCCTACTCTTTACAGTGATGTCTCTCTTTATTAGCAATATCAGCTAATTTCTCGTATGTTCTGCGCTTTGCACTTCCGGCTTTTTGATAACTTCTCGGTTTTTTTTTTCATTTCATTTCATTTCTACTGCGCTTTTTAATGTTTTTTTTTATCAAAGAGCGTCGCGTGAGTCACAAATTAGTTTGTTTTTTTTTGCTTTGATGGAATTGAAAACAGAATTACGTGCATACGTATGTAGGTGTGCATGTGTGTGTGTGTGTGTATATATGTATATGGATGCATATGCAATAGTTGAAGAATGTGATTGGATATTAGGAAAAGGAGATAAGCCAAACATTTATTTTTTTTCTACAAATTTTTGGTTTGTTTCGGAAAATGCAAAAAAAAACTCTCTAGTTTTAAAATTTACAATTTCGAGCAGCTGAGCTTTCGATTTGCTTGGAATGCCGCTAAAATTTCACACGACCCGTTTGAAAGTAATAAATTTGCTGCTTAATTTATGCCAAAAAAAAAATTCAAAAAAAGTCGACTTAAATAGGCAGCCCACACGACCAACAACAATAACAATAACAAAACTGCATAACTTGGCGAATTTCAACAATAACATTGTAAAAACGAAATAAAAGTAAAAAAAAATCAACGCGCCGTTTCTCAAGGTCGTTGTGTCGCCTTCCCAACTGCCGCTTCCACCCACCCCCTTACCGCGGCGCATTGACTTTCCCAACGTAGCGTCGCTTTTGCTTGCGCTAGCAAAAATTTAGCTGTTTAGTTTTTGTTTTTGCGAAAGCGTAAATACACAGCACACACACACACACACACACACACACACACACTCGTAAACCTAAATCGCATTTATTGTTGCGGCTTTTGCTATTTTCGGCTGTGGTCGGAGTTTCGGGCGCAGGTTGCCTTGTCAATGAAAAAAGTGTCAGGGCTAGAGATTTAATTAAGCTTACAGCAACAAAACAAACTTAACGAACACACAGACACACACGCACAATGCAAGTACAAAAAAGAAAAAAAAAAAAAACAGCGCATTTCTGTGTTTAACAACACTAAAGTTAGTGAACCTCTAAAAATACAATGCGAAATGAACACGATCTCGAAGTGGGAGAGCGGCAAACGCCCAATGGGGAGAGAGCAGCGCCGGTGAGGCGTCAAAGTTGCGGTAAATATTTGCCATGTGTGAAAGAGAAAGGAACGCAGAGCGCAACGACAGCGCGACAACTACAACTAAAGCGTCGCCGCCGACTGAGCTCTTATCTTGTTTGCGCTCGCTCTCCCATCTCTCTGTTACTCTCTTTCTCGTTCTCCCTGTCGTGTTGTGTGTTGGACTCGATGTGTGTTTTATGCTCATGTGTCAATGACACTTTGTTAATGTTTTTAAATCTTGTCTACAACAAATAAATAATTTGCGTAATAATTAGTTTTTAGCTGTGCGCTTTGTTTAGCAGTTTTTAGTGTCATTTAGTTGTTGTTTTTTTCTCTCTC